TGTTGAATATGTGCATACTGGGACAATAACTTGTACAACTTTGTGTATTGAACATCTGCACATTGACTTATACAGCTTTTTGTCCTGAAAATTAATGTATCGGAACAATGACTTACACTGCTCTGTATCCTGAACATGTACATACAGGGACGGTGGTCAATACAGCTTTGTGTCCTGAACATATGCACAATGAAGCAGGAATCTATATAGCTCTGTGTGTTAAACATTTGCACATTGCATATTTTGTAACCTAACACCTCCAGCTCCACATTATTTTGTAACCTAACACCTCCACAGCTCCACATTATTTTGTAACCTAACACCTCTAGCTTTACATTATTTTGTAACCTAATACCTCCAGCTTCACATTATTTTGTAACCTAACACCTCCAGCTCCACATTATTTTGTAACCTAATACCCTCAGCTCCACATTATTTTGTAACCTAACACTTCCACAGCTTCACATTATTTTGTAACCTAACACCCCAAGCTTCACATTATTTTGTAACCTAACACCTCAAGTTTCACATTATTTTGTAACCTAACACCTTCAGCTCCACATTACTTTGTAACCTAACACCTCCAGCTCCACATTATTTTGTCACCTAACACCTCACAGATCGATTCATGTTATTCAAATAATAAAGACAATCTAGTAAATAGAAACAGGTTAGAACTAGATTACAATACCTAACGTTTACACAAGTTATTGTAGATTTCATATTTCAAATAGATAAGGAATTCTCAGAAAACTTTCATACTATGTATATATATAATATATGTAGCTCTAAAATCATCTTATCCTGACTTATATCAAACATTCTTGGGTAACTTATAGACTAGGTAATAAGAAACTAGTTGTATATCATGTAGACATTGTTTGTGTTCGCTTGCAATGGGCTAGCTGTGCTGTGCCCACCACGGGTATCGAAACCCGGTTTCTAGCGTTAGAAGTCCGTAGACTTGCCGCTGTTCCACGGGAAGGGGAGGGGGGTAATTGGTTGTGTAACCTGTAAAAGTGTAATAGCCAGCAGTTCATATAAATAACTCTGGCTTGCAAGTACCAAGAGTGCATACAAATACAAAGATAAAATAAGTTATATGAAAACGATTTTGGAGCCTCTCCACGTCGTTAGAGCCAATGTCGCCACGCAACGCTAAGCAATGTTAAAATGTAGTTCTGATACATTCCATTTCACCGCTTCGTTATATCGGCTTGGTAGTCACGTGACTTGCTGACTAATTTATACATGTAAATCTGAAGCACATAGCTACGCAATGGACTATCTGTGCTCTGCCCACCACGGGTATCAAAACCCGATCCTTAGCGTCGTAAGCCTATAAAATTACCACTAAGCTACTGCTGGACGTCAAAATACATAAAAGACGATGTATTCAAGTAAACTTTCGCTTTTTGTTATAATGTACAGGCAAACAAATAAACTAATATGCATGCCATGCGGATCTTGATTCAGGCCTTTCATCAAATGCGACTTTGACCTTTTACGATAAACATTGTGAAGTCTGATGACCTTAAATTTAGTCATTCGAGCTGTCACACAAATGAATCGGCTGTTGTTCGTTCCACACACATCACGTACAAACATATTCTGTAACCACAAGTAAAGATACGCAGAATAATACATTAGACTAGTTTGGCGACCTTAGTTAATCACTCATTTTGTATTCATACACCGCATGAAATACGGATCTTAATCCTTGAACTATCAAAATTTGTCCGAAGACAAATAGAATCTATAACGTGTTTCAATAGTCTTTAAAACCCAAATACACCTCGTGTATAACCATTTACACGAGTCGACCTAGGTAACTTGAAGTTGCTGTAGTGATAAAATACTGTTACGTCTCCGTTTGTTAATTGATTTTTCCGTAACTTCGTTCCGACGAAACTTAAGCGACACAAGTCTTTACTTAATAAAACTGGTTTATTCTTTCCGAATATAACTTTACCGATACACGTCAATAATACTTCTGACCGCAGATCAATTACACACTGTCTTTACACACATATTACAACAATCTCCCGCGTCACGTTTTCCCC